GACAGGCTTTGCAATATACCGTCCTCCTAATGGACAGGCCTCCCAATATACTTTCATCCTAATGGACAGACTTCCCAATAGACCTTCCTACTAATTGACTGGCTTAACCATAGACCATCCTTCTAATGAACAGGCTTCCCAATAGACCTTCCTCCTAATGGACAGGCTTCGCAATATACTGTCATCCTAATAGACAGGCTTCTCAATATACTGTCATCCTAATGGACAGGCTTCCCAATAGACCTTCCTCCTAATGGACAGGCTTCGCAATATACCGTCCTCCTAATGGACAGCCTTCCCAATATACCGTCCTCCTAATAGACAGCCTCCCCAATATACTGTCATCCTAATGGACAGGCTTCGCAATATACTGTCATCCTAATGGACAGGCTTCCCAATATACCGTCCTCCTAATGGACAGGCTTCATCATAGACCATCCTTCTAATTGACAGGTTTTTCAATAGACCATCCTCCTAATGGACTGGTTTTCCAGTAAACAATGTTGAGGAGAAACATTCAGAGATCATTGTGCTTTCAAACATCAGGAAGTTTTCATTATAATTATTTTTCCGGACTATGAAAAGATTCATGTAGCACAACCAGTAAGTGTTTTCACCTCGGGGGACCATACATTTACTATTTCTCTCATACCCATTCTATAACTTTATAACATATGTGCCGTTTCGATGTTTAGCACAGTATATACTCTGTAACCTTGATCAGAAAAATGACCAGTGAAGCGTATGTTCACAATGGTGTAAATTATGTTCGAGCACAGACGGATTGGATCACCCGTATCAACATAGCTGTCACTAACAACATCAAATGTACATGTGAGGAAGAAACCAACGGCACAATGCCCTTCTAGACACTCAACTGGTAACAAAGAAGACAGAACCGTGAAGGTATTGGTCTATGGAAAAAGACCCATACGTACCAATACATGAACTTCAAAATGAAAACCTGTGCATATCCGGAATGAGCCCTAAAACAATGCAAAAACAGTGTCAAAGTAAGGAGAAGGGACAAGAAGATGCAAATCAAGGATAAGAACAAAGCCAAAGGTCTTGTGGCCATCCCGTTTGTAAAAGGTATATCCAAAACCACCCAGAGGATATATAGCGGTCATGGCATAGCAACAGCCATGGAGTCCCACAAGACGCTACGTAATACAGAAGATATCATAGTACACCCCAAAGATAAAACACCAAAAGATAACGGTGCGTATAAAAAATCGGATGCAAAACCTGCGACGCATCGTACATTGGAGAGACTAGAAGGCGATTTGGGGATCAGAAAGGAAGCAGTCGGAGTCCGAGATCAATAAATCGGCAATCACAGACCATGTCACACAGAACACAATCATGTGATCGACTGGGATAACTCCAAAGTATACGACAGACAGAGCAATCTGTCCAAGCGGCAGATAAAGGGGGCCATCTGGATACGCCGCAGTGGGCCAGTTATATATCGAGATGTGGGCCTTATAGACTCGTACACCTCCATGACCGAGTAAAGAAAGCGTAGCTGAATCGAGTCATTTCGGTACCCGAACGACACCGATTTGTGGACAACTCGTACACATTTTACACCTTTGCGTACATACGCCTCACTGGTCATTTGTCTGATGAAGGTGACATAGTATACATACCGTACTAGTCATCGAAACGTCACATATAAACACTTTTTGGCTGTGCTACATGAATCTTTTCACAAGCCATACTTCCCAACCTAAAAAAAAATCAAAATTATTTTTCCGGACTGTTAACGTTCCATAAATTGTTGACATCATTTCCCCCACAGAAACCATAAATATCACAGACGTAAAGCTGCGATATAAAATATATAGATTTCACTCGTTCTATAACCTTTAACCAACATTTGTTTTACGTTTTACTGGATCAGGTTAATTTAGAAACTGTTGCTCAGCATGTCCGTGTCTTTGAAGATTGTTTGTGCACCGCATGTACGTCAATTACTCCATAAGCTCTGCAGTGATGGGTTCGATTCCAGCTGTGTTAATTAGTTGTCAGCTTGACCAAAGTCTGTACACGTCCATAGCTGATCAATATCGAGGCCGACACCGGGCATTGTTCAATGTGATAATTGGACAATCCTTATTGTCAACTACCGAAAATGATATACTGTCATCCACGTATCACAGTGGTCCTATATTTCTCGAAACGGTTGAGTTATAAATGTAGGTCATAGTTAGTGGTCGTGTTATGTTAATTAATATACATTCTGCTTGTATCGGCGTTTTGAGTATGAATATGAGGTACACGAGACAAGAAATCCTGCCGCAATAGTAAACACAAAAAAAAACAATCATCACATCATCCCAACATAGGCGATATACAGTGACACACCGTACGTTTTTTTACGTTACGTTATTTTCGCATACGATTTTAAGGTAACTGGCCCTTTCTCGATATTTTTTACATATTTTATTTTTGTCCCATTTTCATGATATACGACACAACTACAGAAGTATCAAGCACTTCTGTTGGTAATATTTATATACTTAGTAATCATCTATTTCCTTTCCTTTTCTAAATCCTGCTTGCTTGCGTGACCCTATTTTTGTACTAAGAAATATCATTGAACAGTGCACAGAATGGCAGAGACAACTTATAATAAACTTCGTAGATTTCGAAAAAGCGTTTGACAGCTAACCGAGATAGCTTATGGAAGGTCTTACGAAACTATGGAATACCAACAAAAATAGTACAACTTATACAAATGTTTTATACAGACTTCAAATGCACTGTAGGTACTTCACCAGACACAAGTTTTCATGTAAAATGGAAAATCCGGAGTTAGAAAAGGCTATGTCATGTCATCCCTTCTCTTTATAATAGCCGTCGATTGGGTAATGAAATCACCCTTAAGCCGTAACAACACAGGCATCAGATGGAATCTATTTACATACCTAGAGGACCTCGACTATCAGGTGGAATCTATTTACATACCTAGAGGACCTCGACTATCAGGTGGAATCTATTTACATACCTAGAGGACCTCGACTATCAGGTGGAATCTATTTACATACCTAGAGGACCTCGACTATCAGGTGGAATCTATTTACATACCTAGAGGACCTCGACTATCAGGTGGAATCTATTTACATACCTAGAGGACCTCGACTATCAGGTGGAATCTATTTACATACCTAGAGGACCTCCACTATGCAGACGATCTGGCCTTACTGTCACATCTTGAGACACATATGCAAGACAAAACCATTAAAAATATTTATGGCAAAGTTTATCGGAATGACGGCAAAAGTAACTGTCATTTTGAGATCAAAAACTGATTGTCTCACCAAAATGGAAAAATGGTATCAATATAATTAATAGGAGCAGTGACAAAATTCCAAGCTGTTTTCAATTTTTTTTGCTAAAAAGGTAAAATAACTTTGAACCCAATGGTAAAATAAAGCAACACAAAATAATTGTGTCTCTTCTCTGCATTTGTTAACCATTTTCTAATGAGCGTAAACAGAAATGTTCTTAAACACATAACTGCCATTTAGAATGTATCTACCAGTCAAAACTCTCCGAAATCTGGTGATATTGACTCGTTATTCATTCAATTTCGCGTCCGTATTTTCCAAATAATTAATTCGCTATCGCGTTCTTACCCATATTAAACTCTCTATTACAGATACATTTCTTTTCACAAATATTTTCTTTATGCTCAGGAAAATTGTTGTCGACGAATGTCATTTTCCAGTTACATTGCTTTATGTACGCTGTCCCTGACCTCGATATGGTTTCGGATACAAGGACACAGTAGTATATCAGTGTCGAGATAGCTTAAAGATACGTAAACATAACAGTTTGTCATAAAATCTTCTCTTTTTTTTCTCTCCAAATGATGACAAGGTATTAGTACTAAACAGCGTTGTAGGGCTTTATAGTTATGAACAGAACCCGAGGTTTTTGTTTTTGACCATTATGTGAGTTAGAATTTTACTGGACAAGTGTGTAAGAGTCACCTGGGAATTGAAATGTGTCAGGCTGGCCAGTGGTACGTTTTGATGGGTTTACTTATTAATACATTAGCGCCCTAATACAGACGGGTAACCGCGGCGGCCAGTCGCTGCCCTGAGAGCATGCCTTTAGACTCATTACAGATCGTCTGTTTACCGGTAATGTCATTGTCTTACTCCGAAACATTAACAGCTGTGGTCAGATTTGTCCGTAAGTGGACGGAGACTGACCAGTCTAAAAATATTACTTATCAACAGTCGGTCAGCTCACCAGACAGGCATTACTTATAATTTTTCCACAATTAGTTCTTGTTTTTTTATTCGTCTATTATTTTGTATTCGACTTGGTTGTTAGTTTTTTCTCTTTGTTATTTGTGGTTTGTCTATGGTGTTTATAGTTCGTCAGTGTTGTTTGTAGTTCGTCAGTGTTGTTTGTGATTTGTCTATGTTGTTTGTAGTTTGTCAGTGTTGTTTGTAGTTCGTCAGTGTTGTTTGTAGTTCGTCTATGTTGTTTGTAGTTCGTCAGTGTTGTTTGTAGTTTGTCAGTGTTGTTTGTAGTTCGTCAGTGTTGTTTGTAGTTCGTCTATGTTGTTTGTAGTTCGTCAGTGTTGTTTGTAGTTTGTCAGTGTTGTTTGTAGTTCGTCAGTGTTGTTTGTAGTTCGTCTATGGTGTTTGTAGTTCGTCAGTGTTGTTTGTAAATCGTCAGTGTTGTTTGTAGTTCTTCAATGGTGTTTGTAGTTCGTCAATGGTGTTTGTAGTTCGTCAGTGTTGTTTGTAATTCGCCAATGGTGTTTGTAATTCATCAGTGTTGTTTGTTGTTCGTCAGTGGTGTTTGTAAATCGTCTATGGTGTTTGTAGTTCGTCTATGGTGTTTGTAGTTCGTCAGTGTTGTTTGTAAATCTTCTATGGTGTTTGTAGTTCGTCAGTGTTGTTTGTAGTTCGTCAATGGTGTTTGTAGGTCGTCAGTGTTGTTTGTAATTCGCCAATGGTGTTTGTAGTTCGTCAGTGATGTTTGTAGTTCGTCAGTGTTGTTGGTAGTTCGTCAGTGTTGTTTGTAGTTCGTCAGTGTTGTTTGTAATTCATCAATGGTGTTTGTAATTCGTCAGTGTTGTTTGTTGTTCGTCAGTGGTGTTTGTAAATCGTCTATGGTGTTTGTAGTTCGTCTATGGTGTTTGTAGTTCGTCAGTGTTGTTTGTAGTTTGTCAGTGTTGTTTGTAGTTCGTCAATGGTGTTTGTAGTTCGTCAGTGTTGTTTGTAATTCGCCAATGGTGTTTGAAATCCATTCAAACTTTTATGCAAAATGTTGAAAAAAACAACTACATTTCAACTGATCTATTTTCAATGGAAATGCATCTACCGAGAAATTAGCGAAAATAAAAGACAAAGAGAAAAAAGAACCAGGAAATGTGCAGTTTGAAAGTGTCTAGCATTTGTCAGCTAAGGGTCGTATTATGATACTGTCCCTGTCATTTTTTCCGTCTTTCTGTCCCTCTGATGGTCTGTTATTAAAATAGTTTGCGCAAAATTTATCAAAATCATTTTTTATCCGATTCTCTTACTACAATTACAAAACGATGTGTTTATGTATCAGGTATTCATTACAGACAGAAAAACACAACACAACTTATCACATAAAAAGACTATTTATTTTCAAGGGAGAAGAGCTTTGTTATTAATTTTCTATTATTTTTAATGAATTATTAAACACAATTATAACACCTCCGACAATAAACTGTTTGTCTTAACATTTTTATATTTTATATTCTATCTTCTTGGACATTTCATATTATATTGCTTAGAACATTTTTGCGCCACGACATATTGACGAACTTCAGTTTGTGAACGCTCCTTTCCTTGATGTAGTCTGCACCTCCCCATAGGGTCACCTTTGTATAGCGGCTCTCTCTAGGTGTCACATATACTGACCCCGGCACAGTGATAACCTACAAGATAAACAAATAGATACAAATTAATTTAAATGCAGACCAACCATATCACTTTGTAACATCGATGACCCATACATAGATAGTATATCTCAATAGGTCATTATTATACAGACATGTTTTCTAAGCAACGTCATTAATTAAGGCGTTCTGTGTATTATTTCAGCGCGTGGTCACTTCTAGAACGTCACCTAGCAACAGCAATGTGGAAGTGACGTGGACTTTATAACATGTTATTACTAAATGGCGAGAGTGACAACGTTCCGATGATATTTTCGCGCGTACGAAAGATTTAAAACACACACAAAAAACTCAATACTTTCGGAAATCTGGACCCTGAGGGTTTTCAAGTGACATCATGATATTGAAATTAACCAATGAATTGACAGCATTTTTGCATGAGGTGCGACAAAAAAACAATAGGTCTATTTATATATTTTATAACTATATACTATCAAAGGGAAATGTTCTACAGGAAATGTCTTTATCATGACTTTTATTCTCTGGTACGAACTCTTTAATGTGCCATGTTTGTACATTAGCTGTCTACTGCTATCTATTGTTACATACTCTACATTATTGAATGGGCAGTCAAAAGAAGAATGTCCCTATACGTTAGCAGACTGGTTAACAGCAGACGGGTATGAATACATGTTGACGTTATCAGTCTGTCAAAGAAACTTGTCGAATAATAACTGATTGTTTATTTCCTCTATGGAATACAATGTCGTGTCTCGTGTAATTGTGTTATGTCTATGTGTTTTATGCAGACTGACAATCATTAACCCCTGATTCAGTAAGTAACATTTAGGGGGACATTGTGGTGGACAGGACGAGCTCATTCAGAGAGGAATTGTGAACTATACCCCCTCCACCACATTATAGACCAGCTAACTTTCTCAAGGTTCTGATTAAGGTTTAAAGTTGTGATACCACACTTTTTAACATAATTCATGTATGCTGTATCAAATATCCGGTTCTCAAACAAAATTTTGCTTTTCGACCATATCAGTATATAGGATCACGATGTGTTCCAGGTAACTTTAATGGGCTTCGTGTCACCATGCTCCCATCTTTCATTCAAGGCGCAGGAAGCTCAAGTACGACGAAGTGGGTATTACTTGAAATCGGTAAACTCACAGAGAAGACTATTCAATTTACTGCAGAGTATATGAAGCACACAACATAGAACTGTTGATGCTGTAAAGTCATATACTGCTCAATGATTGTGAAGCTAGAAACAATGTCCCAAACGAACGATTCTCTCCCCTTCCCTTTAAAGAAGGAACGGAGGATTCTCTCCCCTTCCCTTTAAAGAGTGTACAGTATCAAGGAACGAACGATTCTCTCCTCTTCCCTTTAAAGAGTGTACAGTATCAAGGAACTGAGGATTATTTCCCCTTCCCTCTAAAGAGTGTACAGTATCAAGGAACGAACGATTCACTCCCCTTCCCTTTAAAGAGTGTACAGTATCAAGGAACGGAGGATTCTCTCCCCTTCCCTTTAAAGAGTGTACAGTATCAAGGAACGGATGATTCTCTCCCCTTCCCTTTAAAGAGTGTACATTATCAAGGAACGAACGATTCTCTCCTCTTTCCTGTAAAGAGTGTACAGTATCAAGGAACGGACGATTCTCTCCCCTTCCCTTTAAAGAGTGCACAGTAACAAGAAACGAAGGAATGATCACTATACACTACCGGAATATAGTAACTGGACTGCTGCCTATTCTGATGTCATTGACCTCGATCCCCTAGAACCTTTTCGAAACGTTTCATTTCACGTGAAAACCAGAAGAAGTGCAGGAGACGTCATTGGAAATATATTGCAAATCATTATAATATCGCAAACCCTTGTTACAATGCACAGCGATGCTTGAGTGGCCAAGCAGACTATTGGTCAAACCTAATGTTTGACTGTAGTCTAGTCATAACAGTGTATAGTTTATTTCTATGTACGACTTACAGGTCGGACAAGTGGTATCTCTTTTAATGTGTCCTTTGTTGGTGGACGACATGCAATCGGAATTGTAATTACTCTCACTACCAGTTACTTAATTTGTTTTTATTATGTACATGTACGCAGATGATACAGCATTTTGTAGTTGACCTCCAAAATATGTTAGATGTTTTAGAAATATTATTCTCCATATAAAAGGTAGGTTTAGTTTACGATAGTTAATGTACTGTCGTGCAGAGTGACATGTCTGAGAGGAGAGCTTAGTGTCTTCTCTATAGGAAAGCTCAAAGATTGCTGTTGAATGAACATTTTGCATTACGGGATTTCAACTGTAAAATGAAGGGCTTTGGTCTTGCACCACGAGTTGAAAACATACTTTTGTTAGTTTTGAAATCCTTACAGCGTAGGATTGCTGTTTTAAGTACAGGTTGTGGGGATTGGAGACCACTAGCCGTATTTTTATGGCGGGCTTTCGAGGGTTTTCGAGGGTTTTCGATGCTTTGCAATAGGAAACCAAATAGTTTAAAAAATGAATACATCATTTGCGACATGATTTGTGTACGGTGTTTTCGGAGATGTATGGTTGGCGCAGTAAGCAACAAAAGATATATGTGTTGTTGTTTATACAAAAATTAATCATCGTATACAGGATGCTTTTATTTAGGAAATGAGAAACATTTGAGACCTGTTCTAAATGTATGTTGTACAATGTTGACCGTTATGATTTATGATGATAATTTACAAATCCTTTATTTAGACAATATAACTGGTAAAGTATAGATAGTTTTGATTTAGAGACTGGTAGATACAATGTATTTCCTAAAAACCAGATATTGTATGCCCCTGTGTATGTCGTGGATGATAAGCTCTGTTCCTTTTCGTCTTGAGTTTAAAGAATTAATAGTATCTCAAATTAAGCAATAGTTCATATTCGTCCTTCTGTGTTTAAATTAATACACTAACCTTCTATAAAAAAAAATGAAAATAAAATAAATAGCAAACTCTTGATTCAAGCAACTGTTAAAAGGAACTTTCAACTATGGATTGATGGAATAAGTTAGCAGACACTTTAGGAAAATGTCGTGATACTGTAGAATGCGAATCGTGGCCTATGTCTTTTTTTACTACATTGTATAATCTCAGGTTCACTATGTACTTTGGTAACCGTCCGACTCACATTTTGAGACTATGTGATTGTATCTATTTGTTTTAAATTTGAGGCGTATTTGTACATTTACTTTTTGGTAGAATCCGCTAAGATATCCCTCGGAGAAGCTGTGCTTTACCCACTGGATTATATCATTTTGTAAAATGTTACCAATAAAACCTTTGTAAACCTAAATGCAATGCGAACTAAATTGAAAATGACTTTATAGTTGCACAGTTGTTGACGAAAATGGTTAAAGCAAAGTAAAACAACAGTTCTAGTTATGTAAATAAGATGACGATATACTCAAAGAGGCCAGTTTATCACATCAATCATACCTAAATAATGCTTACAAACGAACTATGTATCAACAAATTATCCCCTCGACAACACAGAATATATTACGTACCTAAACGTACCTAAACCCTATCCTCCTCGGGGACTATTTGTGACATTACCCTGTTATACCCTGTCATACAAGAAACATCAACGAAAATACCCCTCAATTCGTAGGTGACGTGATTTTTCAGATAAAGGATAGTTTATTTGTTCCCGAGTAACATTGAACCTGGCTAGTTTGCATCTTGCACAAACACAAATCCAACCAATATTTGGGGTTGTGGTAATATGAAGATGGTCCCGGACAGAATCGAACTTGTCGTCAGCTATCTCACAGTCTGTTATACTCAGTTGCTGTAATCGTATTAACACCAACGAAAACGGCATGTAACCATTCTCTGGGGGCAACAAGAGTTTTATGAATCAACAATTTATAATCACCCTTTAATTAGGTTTAATGGCTTGACGATTAACCCTGGTTGTGAGCTAGCACAACAACGCCTACTTCACAATAGAGTATTTCGTAACATGAATCTTTTCTTATTATAATTGTCAATAAAGTCCGACGTCATCCGGATAGAAGAATGTATAAAAACGAGTAAAGCAGTATTTTATATCAAACGGATTTTTATGATGTAGTCACTGAACGAATCGTGGGAACATTTAAAGATAATTTCTTCATCGTTATATCGTTAAATCGTTATATATCGTTATATATCGTTATATCGTTATATATCGTTATATCGTTATATCGTTATATATCGTTATATCGTTATATTACGGAATCAATGATGGTTGTTTGTAAACATTCCGGATACCAGTTCAAACGGATTTTATTGAAAAAGAGCTTTAGTTGAAAAAGAAAAGCTCTAATAACTAAAGACAATACAACGTACAGCGTCATAACTGAGCTTTCCTATAACAATCTTAAAATCTTAATTTACATTTAGATACAACAGTATTTTGAAAATGTCAAAATCCTATCAATCCACCGAAAAATTGTATTTGGTTTGTTGGAATGTCGTGATTAAAGTCAAAACAGAAAGCGTTTGATTGAATAACGTTTTAACTAATGCGGTGCCAGTAGCTTTTTAGCTAATGCGGTGCCAGTAGCTTTTTAGCTAATGCGGTGCCAATAGCTTTTTAACGGTGGTCGTTTGATGTTAGAATTATTCAGTGTGTCTACTAGTTTTGGCATCTGTCAGTGACTTTCTGCTGCCCACCTTAGGCTGTAAGAAGTCTATCGTCCGTAGCCTGTCTGTACGTGATCTGCTGCCCACCTTAGGCTGTAAGAAGTCTATCGTCCGTAGTCTGTCTGCACACGATCTGCTGCCCACCTTAGGCTGTAAGAAGTCTATCGTCCGTAGTCTGTCTGTACGTAATCTGCTGCCCACCTTAGGCTGTAAGAAGTCTATCGTCCGTAGTCTGTCTGTACATGATCTGCAGCGCACCTTAGGCTGTAAGAAGTCTATCGTCCGTAGTCAGATTGTATATGTGTGTACTAACGTACAGGTTGTATATGTGTGTACTAACGTACAGGTTGTATATGTGTATACTAACGTACAGGTTGTATATGTGTTTTTTATCACGTGTACAGGTAACAAACATATATATACCTTTCGTTCACTTCCTCCTTGTTTCGGCGCTACCCGTCAATAACATCGCAATTAATTTGGCTCTCGACTCATCGTCGATTTGTCCTTGGTACGCGGAGGCTGTTCGTCCGTCTCTCTTTTTGCCGCTGAAACAAAACAAAGGGATATCATCAATATTTTGTGAATAATCATTACTCGTATTAAGATTAATCTCTTGCTATCACAAAGTCCCAATGCTGGTTATCAAATGACTATTTGTGTGTCTGAAGTCGTGGTTCATAGTTTCACTCCCAGTTCAGTGGATCTGGACTCCACTCTGACTGTAGCTGTGGTATTGGTTAAGCTTTTCCTTATTGTAGGGGGAAAGCACTAGCTGTGTACGTTTGTTAAATAATAACTGATTGGAAATCGTCTCTAATGTCCATTCTGTCACACTTTGGCAGATACATCGAGCCCAGGGTAGGCTACTCCAACATATACGTTCTACACGTGCATAATAGATAGAAATCTGCACAAACTCATCGTATGTTGTCTTAAAGTGTATAAACAGTACTTCTTCTTTATTCTGTATTTGATTTCTTTGTAAGTCTAACTACATACTGTAAGCCGATTTTATTAGAACTGGTCGATGCAGGAGTTTGACGTAAGCCAATATAATTTGAAAAAAAATGATTTTGTTATATACACACATATACATATCTAATAATTAAGTAAACCTAATGGTGTTATTAAGTATTTATGAAACTTTCAACATCCGTAGTGTACGTGGTTTTGTTAGAGTAATAACTCGGTCAGATTTATTACATGTCACGTGTTTGTGGACGATCACCCAGAATACAATACGGAACAGAATATCACCGCCAGACCTGTAACTACACTTACAGGGTACCGGTACATTGCTTCACCCATTTTACCTGATGGACCCCCTGTACAAGACCATTATAAATAATTGTGACGAATGACTCAAGTTTCAAGTTTTATTCGGACTTTAGGCCATTGGCCCATCAGTATACAATACATATTATACACTTGTGTTTGTTTCATACGTTGTCATGGTAACGAAAGAAGATCAATCTTAAAATAGAATTAATGAAAATCAATATATGGAATTAAAAACTATCGCCATTTGAAAAAACACATATTGTATTTATTTATTTGTTCTTTTCAATTTGAAAATTTAAAATGTTGATGAAGATCGAGCAATTGAACGTATCATCATCCTATATCAAAGTACTGGACGGCACTACACCTAATCTCGTATTCCCATTATTCAACCTTTTCCGCCGTTATGAATAGAACAGGTCAACAGTGCATGTCATACCTTTTGTTTACCCCGAAGTAATGAGGCTAAACTCCAGATGGCATGATGAGTGAACATTATAGCGTATTTAGACCAGCGTCAGTGATGACGAATGCCCACTTAAATCAATGCGCGTTAGATGTAGCCATGCGCGTGATTTGACATCCGTTTCCATGTCATAGTCACAAATTTCTGATATAAATCATATGAGTATCCGCCTCCGCGCTTCTTCATCAACGTCACGGTAAATCCGTAATCCACATTTGTTCTATCAAGAAATCGTCCATTGATATCAATCTATTTCAAAATTGTCTCGCGGCTTTTAGCTAGTTATCGGCCTTCAATTAAACGGCTTGTTAATTGGAAATATGCAGCACGTTGCCAGCTCGGACGCGGGTTCGTGTGGAGAGAAAACGGAAAACCATTTACATCACGGTCACCTCGCACCCCGCCCACTTCCGGTTGATGCAAGTTACGCGATCCGCGCGACCGACTGTGAGGTATGGTACAGATAAAACACATTTGTTTTCACCTTCGCCATCATGAGTATGATGACATGATTATGATGACACGTTTAGCAAATAAAAGTTGGATAAAATGTCTAATATGCCTTAGAAACGATGGTCAAGTTAGTGATCAAGTGTAAACACGGCTAGGCCGGACCCCCGGTTGGTGTAGGGTAGACCTATATAGATCTAATACATTACCATACGGGAACTTGCTATGTTCACGCTTGAAACACGTGATTATAAACTATTAAAAGAAGCTAACATACCGGCGTGAAATTAGGTTGATTCATGCCTGCCTAAGTACCCGGTAATGCAAACAAGCTCATTGTGATTGATGACACAGTACGCGCCTTGACAACTGCAAATGGTTTCCAGGTTTAAATTTCAGGAAGAGACAACAGGTAGAAACGATTTATGGGTCTGTACTTGTTTATTAGCAGGTTTGTTAAAAGGTTAACAAGATGTACAGGGGGTAGTGATTGGTTAATAGGCATAAACGATGTACGAGCCCAGTGATTGGTTGACAGGTATGAACGATATACGGGCAAAGTGATTGGTTAAGAAATATGAACGATGTACGGTCCAAGTGATTGGTTCACAGGTATTAACGATGAACGGGCAGAATAACAGGTATTAACGATGAATGAGCCAGTTGATTCGTCAACAGGTATTAACGATGTACGGGCCAAGCGATTGTTTAACAGATATGAACGATGAACGGGCCCAGTGATTGGTTAACATATATGAACGATGAACGGGCCAGGTGATTAGTTGACAGATATGAACGATGTACGGGCCCAGTGATTGGTTGACAGATATGAACGATGTACGGGCCAAGTGATTGGTTGACAGATGTGAACGATGTACGGGCCAGGTGATTGGTTGACAGATATGAACGATGTACGGGCCCAGTGATTGGTTGACAGATATGAACGTTGTACGGGCCCAGTGATTGGTTGACAGATATGAACGTTGTACGGGCCCCACCTTTTGGTTAACAAGGGAAGTTAGACATGGATTAAGGAATGCACCAGCACAAAGCATTTGCGTCTTTTCTTTATTTTCAAATCTAACAAGCAAAACCACGATTGCAAATAATAATAAATGATCAATTCTGACCAATTTTTAATTTAAACCTAAAATTGAACCAAATACATTGCAATAAGTTCGATGTAAGATTTAAATTTTGATGGTTCATGATTATTATCATAAGAAAGCGAAGATTAAGTTTGGTATTAGTTCGCTGACGTACTTTTATTGGCTCAATGTATCTTCTCAAGAACGATTGTTTTTAGGTTATTAGTTTGTCTACCACCATTTCACCCTAAAACGGAAACGGAATTGTCATGGTCCGGAAATGAACGAGCCAAGTTCCATGGGTAGTCTAATTTGATAGGATGACAACGAAGAGCCTTGCTGACTGCACACGTTTGACAGAAACGAATTCGAATTTCATTTTTGTTTTCTAATCGATATGACAAGTTGATAGGATGTCCAATATATCTGGCAATATCGTATGTGAGAAACTATTGACTAAGTGGAGTGTTTGTAGCACAGTGTGCCTAAGGTCGCTACGGGGCGAGGCTCCTATCTGTCAAGTAACGCCCAGTGTTGGCCCAGCTTTCTCAACCGGAAACCGCGGGGCCTGCTGGAATTGACTTCGCAAGCTTCCCTTATTATATATCTCTTAACCCCTTTGGAACTAATAACTTTGAGGGACACGACCCCAAATATTTGTTTTGTGCTTGTATTTGGTAGAAAGACGGAAGTATATCGGAATCAAGATCGCCAAAGCACCGACCACGAGCTTCAAAACTAGAGGCGAGTAACAGTCACCCTCTAAATTGTATCTCAACGCATTAAATGGAACAGCATTATCTAACTACCGTTTTGTCGGTCGTGTTGCTCTCTTTAATGGAATTACATTGTTCTCTGGTGAACATTTTAAGCTAATAGTTTGTATATGACGTTTGTTGTGTAATGTTCAAACTATTACCGTTGTTAAATCCAGGTGATGGCGAAACGTTCAAACTTAATCCCAATAAATATTAGCGAGAATTATCACAGGGGTCAGTAACACCGACACTGATGGTCAACTCATCTTCTTACGTCATCGCTGACCACGATATTTGACAGTATAATATGTAGGATAACGGTCAATAAATATGACCAGTGACATTCATCCATATTAATTTATTAATGACGATTACGAGTCGGCTGTAGTTGTCTGTGTGTACAATGTCCATTAGTATCAGCGTTTTGAAGTGCCTGGACCATTGTGTGGCTGTGTGGCTGTCCGAGCCTCCTAGCCTGGGGGATGTCCTCCCCCACACGATACAAAGGTACTCCGAGTCATCAAACATCCTTCTTTGAACTTAAGCCAACGACCCGTGGTGTTTCATTATCTAAAATTTGTCAATTAACTGCTAATTTTCGCGCGAGGCAAACACATCAATTTAGAATTATGGATGCTATTATCACCGTAGCCTCTAGAATAGTGTTACTTACAACATCGTCGTTACAGTTGATTGCAATAATCCTTATTGCACTTAAATTCGTCCAATCAAAACGCTAAAGTTGTGATTTAAACGTTTCCGCCTGTTGCCAATTGTACTCGCTTTATAGCTGATTGATCCAGACGGTTCAGGAAGGGCGATCAAGTGACTGATTTTGACCCTAATATCTGGGTACAATGACCCGACAGCAAGGATTAAACAGGGTTGGATGTTGGCGGAAGTTCGAGTGAATCTGTTAATGTATAGGGCACGCATTATATATATACTACACTCATTAGAGTGTGACGTTGCCTAAGGGTCACCCCGAGGGTAGCACTGTCACCCTTCACCTCGGGTGACAGTGATACCATTGGGTTAACCCTAGGCACCGTCACACTCTAATGAATGTAGTGTTTATTTTATTATACCGAAAGTCAATAACTAACGAAGTTGTCATATTTTTAACAAATATTGTATTTTCAGCAACAAATATAACAGTGAAATATTCAAGATTAAACAATAAAGTCAGCGTTATTAACACTGCGAGATGTCATGGCAGTCGTTATAACAAGTAAATGGTTGATATTGACGATCGGGCTATCGAACATCTTCATATCATCATCAGTGATGGTATCCTTGTATCTNTTTTCCCCCCCCCCCCCCCCGAAACCTCATTTTTTCATAACAATCACAATTCTACTTTGTACATGTTCTTTTGACGGTACGCTGCGTGCTTTGAGATTCCTTTTCCGTCAATAGTTTATGACTTTATCCAAATCACCCAACTTAACATCTGCAAATCATAACCTTTTTTTACTTCACACTGAGCGTACGGCCGATTGTTTATCCCAGACTACCAGGTGAATGAAGCGTTTGGAAATCTCACTCATCTCAGCGTTACATCGGTGTAGTCATCACCGGCGAGTAATACACGGTCATGTGCGATGAGTCGCAATGTAAACAAACGTTCTGGCTCAAACGAACCATGCGCGCATCTTCTTTGCGCGGTCACTTTTTTGCACTGTCACACACACTGTCACCCGTTGCTAGGGCGTTTGGAAGCACCCTTCCATTGACTCAATTTTAAAACGAGAGTGACATTATAAAATGAACACTATGTCTCGACCTATCAGATTACAGGATTTTCACTAGGGGTATAATAAAACATGTTCGTTCATTTCGAATTAATGTATCAAACATTCTCGCAATCCAGGTAGTAGTGTCACACCACAAAGCAATTCATATCATATAAAAAACCAACAATTTCAGTCCAAAATGTATGTATTCCAAACGATCAGATAATAAATATTTGTAAATAAATACTAATACGTGACGCTAAGACATTGTTGTTAGATAAGTGAATTACCTGACTACTGCATATATAGATATGAGATGCTTATGGGTCACAAACTTGATTACTATATCAATGAGACGCTTGTTGAGTAATTCAACTGACTTCATTATCAATGAGACGCTTGTTGAGTAATTCAACTGATTACATTATCTACGAGACGCTTGTTGAGTAATTAACCTCACTACAATATCAATGAGACGCTTGTTGAGTAATAAACCTGACTACATTATCAATGAGACGCTTGTTGGGTATTTAACATGACTACAATATCAATGAGACGCTTGTTGGGTATTTAACATGACTACAATATCTAAAAGACGCTTGTTGTGTATTTAACCTGACTACAATATCAATGAGACGCTTGTTGGGTATTTAACCTGACTACAATATCTAAAAGACGCTTGTTGAGGAATTGCTTGGTAACTAAGGTACCGGAATACTTAAATAAACGCTAGGATTCAATGACTTACCTGGCTACTAAATGACTTACATGACTACTAAATGACTTACATGACTACTAAATGACTTACATGTCTACTAAATGACTTACATGACTAATAAATGACTTACCTGACTACTAGATGACTTAATTGGCTACTAAATGACTTACCTGACTACTAAATGACTTACCTGACTACTAAATGACTTACCTGAATGACTTACCTGACTACTAAATGACTTACCTGACGACTAAATGACTTACCTGACTACTAAATGACTTACCTGAATGACTTACCTGACTACTAAATGACTTACCTGAATGACTTACCTGACTACTAAATGACTTACCTGACTACTAAATAACTTACCTGACGACTAAATGACTTACCTGGCTACTAAATGACTTACCTGGCTACTAAATGACTTACGTGACTACTAAATGACTTACCTGACGACTAAATGTCTTCCCTGACTACTAAATGACTAACCTGACTACTAAATGACTTACCTGACTGCTAATTGACTTACATGACTACTAAATGACTTACCTGACTTCTAAATGACTTACATGACTACTAAATGACTTACATGTCTACTAAATGACTTACATGACTAATAAATGACTTACCTGACTACTAGATGACTTAATTGGCTACTAAATGACTTACCTGACTACTAAATGACTTACCTGCCTACTAAATGACTTACCTGACTACTAAATGACTTACCTGACTACGAAATGACTTACCTGACTACTAAATGACTTACCTGAATGACTTACCTGACTACTAAATGACTTACCTGAATGACTTACCTGACTACTAAATGACTTACCTGAATGACTTACCTGACTACTAAATGACTTACCTGACCACTAAAGTACTTACCTGGCTACTAAATGACTTACCTGACTACGAAATGACTTACCTGACTACTAAATGACTTACCTGACTACTAATTGACTTACATTACTACTAAATGACTTACCTGACTACTAAATGACCTACCTGACTACTAATTGACTTACATGACTACTAAATGACTTACCTGAATACTAAATGACTTACATGACTACTAAATGACTTACCTGACTACCAAATGACTTACATGACTACTAAATGACTTACCTGACTGCTAATTGACTTACATGACTACTAAATGACTTACCTGACTACCAAATGACTTACATGACTACTAAATGACTTACCTGACTACTAAATGACTTACCTGAATGACTTACCTGACTACTAAATGACTTACCTGACCACTAAAGTACTTACCTGGCTACTAAATGACTTACCTGACTGCTAAATGACTTACCTGGCTACTAAATGACTGACCTGACTACTAAATGACTTACCTGACTACTATATGACTTACCTGGCTACTATATCTATGAGTCCACATCCTATTAAGTCACAGCCTGTCGGTCTCCGCTCTAACGCCAATCGTGCGAAATATTCTGCAGTTTTTACATCACCTGTTTGGCGCCGTAACCTTGAAAACAAACAAAACAGTGTAGTTAGTTGTTAGGAAAGCTGCACGCTCCTTAAACGACGATATAGTCTCAACACTCATACGTCATATTCAATTAACTGAATTTAAATTTGCAATTCATTTATGCATTTACTTTTAAAATGGTGGTTAGCGAGATAAACGTAGTCAATAATAAAACACCAAGGCTGATGTCTTCATAAAAAAATAGTTCAGCAGACTTATAACATGTCAATCTCTTTTCAAATGAATGAATTCGACGTGACATATTATCTAAAGTTTATTTCTATACCAAGGTCTTTCAATACCTGTGTAGAGGCATACCGGCCTCAATAAAAACAAGATTGTGACTCTAAGAATGTATAAAAATTATATATAAAGTATCCTTTCGTACCATAAAATGTTGGTGTAAAAAGTTAAACAGGTTATACTAATTATACCGTTTCTTAGTTTCGTAATCATTAACATGGCTAGCGCATCACAGAACGGTATGAACTGGTACATCATCATGTCTCTTCACATCTAATCCGCGTGACCTAGGCATATAGATGGACATAAGATAATATTTCATTTCGCAGCATTCAATTGGGCTGAGAGATTGACATGCTATAATTTCGGTGAACTATTTATGTTTACTACGTTTACCTCGCCATGGACCATTTTAATAACTTATACTATCAAATTACATATATATATATATGGTCCTATTTCTAACTGGGGCCTTTGGACATGACTTATCAGTTGTTGTAATGTGGGGTGGATATACCATCTTATGGGGGCTTGGTGAATCTAAACGGACACAGCAGTATTGGAACGGCCCGTAACGCTAACATCTATAACACAATCCGCACTATCATATCTGGAAATTTGGAACCATGATGACGTCAATGACTGTCAGCGTTGACTCCCTATCCTCATATCGAGATCAGTAGTAGCTTGTAATGAGTTAAAGTATTATCTGTCCTATATTAACCAGACTCAATAACCATGTCTCTCCTACAATGGCAGGGACTTTTAATTGGATCTGAGAAGTACGTGTTTCATGTGTTGTCCTCCGTAGGCACTTCCGGTTTATACTTTAGGTATACATTTGCCTTTTTCAATACAGCTTTCAAGATTGAAGGTCAAGAAAGCCGTGCATGCGGAATACATCTTACATTTATATAGTTACAAAGTATAGAAATAGACGTGTACCGAACGTCAAACTCAATCAGTGTCTCTCAACCAGTCAGACTAAAATATATACAATTTGATTTTAGAATTTATATCACTGTAATGTACGCCTGGCAGTTTACAGTGTGGCCCCATCATCATCAGGAAGCTGGCTGTGTAAACTTGCTCATGAGGAAGGCCTTGTTCTAAATAAGGATGTATTGACTGTTTCCACTTTCAATATTTTTAAACGAAGAACCACAACCAAATTAAACTTTTGGAAATTTCACAATTAAAATGACAATGAATTTGTGTAATTATACATGGTAAAACGTTTAAGCAGATCATTCCTCCGAAAAATACCAAGAGCCTACTGATGTATATTGCTGTAAAGCGTTATCATGCATAAAATAAACCGTTTATAAACCAATCTATTAATTATATGAGAAAAAGCATTGTTTTAAAACAAATAAAACTATTGAACACTATGTATAACTTACATACAAGACTAACACTTTTTACCTTTACGTGAAATAGTAACATTGATTTGAACCCGGGCAAGATATAATCTCGTTATTCACACGCCTAGGATAGGGTTGTGACCATAATCGGGTTTTAAACTATATGAGGTCACCGAAATGGGTTCTATGACGTTGCCATAAATCTAAAATAGGAAACTGAAAATTGATGTGAACACAATTTAAGTAAATGAACAAGACTTTGGTACATTTGGTTCGTATGAAACTTTTGCTTAAAACATTGGGCCCGTATTCATGAAACCGTTCTCATGCTCAAGCATGGATTCTGTGCTCAAACCAACTTTCTTGTTACTCACTTAAATCATGTCAAAAACGATCGAAAAGTCAAATGGAAACATTGAAAACAGTAATCGGTTGTAAGTCTCTTCATTTTTTTTCCAAATCATTGACAAAATCAGAGTTTTTTTAACACTTTATAACCGGAACAAGAATTTAGGCTTGAGCACGAAATGAGAACGATTTTATGAGTACGGGCCCTGGTCTTATCTTCATCATATTTCCTTATTCCCTAATTTGTTTATTTGTGTTCTGCGTAAGTTCGTAAGCTATCTAAAAGATCTTATTTCGCCAATTCATGATTGTAGTTTAGTACTTTCATCAATCTGGGTCACTGAGATTTCGCTGTCTACCTGAGTCACGAGGATATAACACTTCCTGTATAATAGCTTTGTGTTGTGCAGGTTCTCGTTACACTATACAACTATCTCGGATAACATCCAGGAATTCATCGGTAACGGTATATGTCTCTCAGGAGTGTTTGTCCTCCGGATCGTATGTCACCGTAACCTTTTCCGTTTGTATCCGGAATTAGATCTGTTCTACAACACAAGTGGTCTCGTCCGTACCGAACCTATTTCAGACCAGAGTATACAGGTCTATCTGAGACCAAGGTATACAGGTCTATCTGAGACCAGGGTATACAGGTCTATCTGATACCAGGGTATACAGGTCTATCTGAGACCAGGGTATACAGGTCTATCTGAGACCAGGGTATATACAGGTCTATCTGATACCAGGGTATACAGGTCTATCTGAGACCAGGGTATACAGGTCTATCTGAGACCAGGGTATATACAGGTCTAACTGAGACCAGGGTATACAGGTCT